CACCACCTCCTCACACATCAGCCTAGACAGTCAGAATGAGACCGGCGGACCGGTGCCTGCAGAACCAGCGTGCAGTACGCCTTACCTGCGCGCACTAATTCAGGTTATCCAGACACTTCAGGTCTTTTAGGTATTCATGAAAATCCAAGGAAAAAATCCCGAATCCAGATCCTGTCCTTACGCCGTGCCCTGTGTGCCCACATACAACCCCGTGATCTAAATACACAGTTCCATCACCACAGGCATATGTACGTCACCCACGTAACACATTGCTTTATCCTGCGGCAACTATGCTATCCATTTTGACATCGTCGATACGGCATCTGAAACATCATGTGTGCGTACACGCACATCTTGATTGCATGGACAGCATGCCTTTTGATGGGGCCTGGTACAAGAAGGCGGACTACTTAGCTCTGTCAGTCACTACACTGAGCCCCATCAATACTTAGCAGAAATGCTCCGATAATGAAATCGACACTGGGGAATTAACCACATCCTACCATAATAATTCCGACGCGCTTGAATCCATCACGACGGGCTAAGGGTCGTGGCTTTTACGAGTAAAAACTGGCAAAATAACTTTGCCCACTTGAAGGGGACTGAGGTAGAACTGTAATAGATCCTTTATATTGTTGTCTTCATAACACTTTAACGAATGCGCGATTCCAGCTGCCCTTAGAAAGAACAGTAAAGCTAGTAGAAACCAGGTTGTGCAGAATGCCTAGACGGACCGTTTATCTCCTCCAGCCAATGCGTCCACGCCCAATTCCGGCAGTGTTGAATTTGTTTTGTCATCAGCGCAAGATGCGTGATAGAGAGAAGGGTGCGGTAGAAGCTGCGCAAGTCTGTCGAGCAATGATCTAGTGAAGGCCCTCAGGTACCATCTGCTGGCCACACCCGCCTGTCTAACGGGAATAGGGGTCAGAGGGTTTTTACGGGTGGGGCATATAGGCTGTATTTGAAAGCCCAAAAATTACGGACGTAAAGGTAGTTAATTTGAAGAATGATCTAAAATTAGCTTAAATTTAACGTACGACAACGAAATCGAAGCGCGACATTAAAAAAGTAAACAATGAGGTGCATGTCAATGGTAAACCAATTTAAGTTAACTTCCAGTGTATATTTTACGGCAGGTAAGGAAATCAATGCAAATCCAGTCAATGAGAATGAACGAAAACTGGTGACGGGAAACCCATCGCACTCGTATTTTGTGAACTCTGTGGCAACGACCTTGAAGGCTATGTCAGCAGTACCGAACCACCTAGATCCTCAGAATGGAAATACGCAATCTGAAGTAGTAAATGGACTGCGATATTTCACTCATCTGATATTAGTTTATAAATGTAGTTAAAGAATAAGTATGTTTGGTAATAAGGTCCCAGAAACAGAAGACTCGAAGGCGTCATCTGTCGAAGCCATGATTTCACAATACGCTATTATCTTGTTCAATATTACGGGTCATCGTCGGCGAAAGTCGAATGAATTATTCGTAGTTGCACACAGCACCGAAGCAGAGTGAACAGATCATGGAAGAAATAAACTCGGACAACTTAGTCGAATACTGCCAAAGTAAACAGCTTCTGTCGACTAAGGCGCAGTCATAAAATCACGAACGACCCAATCAACACCGCGAAGGCCTTGGTTCGTGATGAACGTGTGAGACCAAGTTTATGACAGTCAAGTAATCGTTTCTTAATGGTAAGTTCTGGTGTCTACGACGAACGACACGATCGACAGCGAGTGAGACTAACTTCATAGCAGATTGTGCAATGTTGATTCTCAACTCTCTGAGCTGAAACAATTGCATGTTATACAAGGCGAAGTCATATCCTAGCGGTCGGTTTTCAGTCGTGCGATCTAAGATCATGAAATGTTATAGAATGTGACGTCAAATCGAAATGATCGCTCATCGCCTCTCCGAGCTAATGTCTTAGTGTGGTAAGAAAG